AAGTGAGTATATTCTAGCAAACTCACTCACAAGTGTTGGTGTACATATCTCATCATTTCCAAGGCATAGCAGCATTTCCTTAACGTACTTACGACTAGTGTAGTAGACATTGTCAATTGGACTTGACGTTATGTCGGTAATTCCGGAGCAAGGAATCCATTCAAGTTTATTATCTTTATTTACATAACAGGATTGAACCAAGTTGTCAATTGCTGGATTATTAACAACCCCTGACGTTAACGGCATAGTTTGAATTAAAAATTTTCAAGTAGAGAGAATTCTCAACACTTATTTATTGTGCTACATTGCACATTAAGCATGATATTGCGCGAGGTAATCTGATAGGTACATAAAACACCAAAGCACGATTGACCGACATCGATTGCATTATATCCCATTAAAGCTTATCAAGAGGAATAACTTGATGTCGAGCCATATTACTATACAAGAAGTTTTCTCTTCGCATCAATGGAGTGAGTTTCGGATGTGGCAATAGTGTACACGAGTAGCAACACGAGTAGCAACACAACGCTTACATATCGCAAATTCGATTTGCAGATTATATACACTTTAACTTTGTTACGTACGTATTACTACTTAGCAATACTTGCAAGCAACATTATATGTCGAGAATCGTTCATGAGAATGAATTCGCGTCTTCTCTTACAACGTAATATTTGTAAGGTAACTTCTTTTTTTGGGTCGGATTCTATTAATTGATAAATTCCGGCAGAGTAAATTGCTCAGTGTTTGAATTATTTGGAAAATAAACACTATTGCGTCAAAGAACATTTGACCAACACTTGTGATAGTCTTACTCTTCGTGCCAACTAATAGGTTGCTGATCGCATCAGCCTAAAAATAAATAACAGTATTCAATAAAAAAGCACATTCAGTTAACTGTCAGTCCGTTATGCATATCAAGATTTATGGCAATGGAATCTTGTTATCTGCGGATGTTCAAGTAAGTTATGTATTTTTATATGTTCGTAATCAGTGTGAATGGTAACCGTAAAAGGCATGTACTTGTTGCTAGCGTAGTCGGTAGTAATATAGTTTAGAAGTCATTAATTGATATTAAAATCAATTTGGATTGCAAGCAAAAAACGCCAGCGAATAGATTAGATCTTACCATAATCAGCACTACTTGGATGTTTCGAAGAAAACTTAAGACGCAATTATTATGTTTTATTCGGTCGATGCAAGTGAGTATAACTGTCGGTTTGGTGGAATTGAGTGCATTGAAACCTAGAGAAATGTTTTCTATTAAAGGATTACTTATAAAATACGATTAGAAAGTGGGGTGATGATGGCGATTAACAATTGTCTAGTTGTGTATGGGTAGTAATAGTAGATTACAATTAATTTAAAACCCTAATCCTAACCATATTGCATTCCTGTAAAAAGAACACCTGATATTCGCCCGCAAAAGTTGCTCTCTGCCCGATTGGAATAACTATTAGGCATAACTATCTATAATAGCCAAAGAACTGAAGTAATTAACTATTGATTAAGTATCACTGATCGTACCATTCGCTGTAACTTCAACGGAATTGATTCTTCCACGCGCAAAGTCCCTGCCAGGCGAATTACCTTGTTCGCATTACAAACTATTATTGTAACACTTCTCGTGCATGGATGGTCACGAAAACCTACCATTGTCAGTGTGAGGATTAAACTCCCCAATGTTGGAAGCTTGTCTATTCTTCCCAGACCGAATGAAGAATAACATGAAATGCCTATCAAGAAGACGGTGATAGGAAAGAATTTCCCCAACTCCTTTTCTTAGTGCGGTATAGTTTTGAAAAAAATATATCGATAATATTATTATATAAGAGAATGGGAAAACGCGTAAAACATACATTGAAGCGCGAGGAGATTATATTAAACATTAAGTTTATAATGTTGATCGCATGACTTTTTCTGGGGACTGTATATCCAAACTTTGTATCCTTTACTAATTGCTATTCGCGCAGCACGATTAATCACTGAACACGCACACGTTTTTCACTCTGAAAAATCTTAGGCTATTAAAAAGATATCCTGCAGCTCCCGTAGTACGCATGCAACGGCATCTCAGCTTGCAAACACTTTTACAGGGAAATTTTGTGGATATATCGATGCGCACGTTTAATAGTTGATTTGAACGATTATTAATACAAGCTTCATTCGTCGTTGTCATCGTCGTTGTTGTTCTCATCGTTATCCTAGAATATCATAGTTTTAAAAAGATTAATCATGACAGTAGTGTTAATACTTTACACTTTTTATATATATACCTGTACATCATCAGGGAAAGCGTTGGGAAAAGTGTCAAGGAGAGCTTCGGGGATCTCGGCAGGGAAACTGCTATCTAAATCGCCAGGGAAAGCGCCAGGGAGAACGTCAGGAAAAGCGCCAGGTACGCCAAAACGAGCTTCGGGATTTATAATTCCATCCATAGGTGGATCGAAAAATAATCCTTCATGCTCAATAATATGGTTATTTAATCTCTCGGCCAATCTATTGAGTTCCGCGTTCTACATATCCAAATTACGAATTAACCACCATTCATAATTGGTATGTAAACCGTATTATATTATAGTCAATAGTAACTCACCCCCGGTGCTCCGTTTAATAGCCTTCTCACTTGACCCATTAAGAAATGTTGCCACCTATGAGTACGCACTCCCGAATTCGATCGCAACACGTATCTGTCGTATTGATTGTCACCATCATCCGGCGGCAGTGGATCGTACAGCATTATCTCCATGGCACTTATTTCAGAAGGCAGATATCCGCGAAGATTATTGTTCTCTAATAATTAACAGGACATTTGTCAACACTGCCAACCAAGATACTAGACTTCGTATATGTAAATATCTATACCTGATACAATTATAAATCGACAAACATTTTGTGGTACCTCTTGACTATAAAATGATTCACGAATGCATTCACCAATAGTCATGTGTTCATTGAGCGTCACAGGACGTCCAGTTGGAGAACCTCCTATCATGTACAGACGTATGTTAGTTCATGCAACAGTCACCAGAACTTGTATGGGGAGTGAATTACAAGTTGATTCCACCTTCCTGCCCACTAACATATTCGGATAGCTCAGGCATCAGATTATCTAATGTAGTCGTTAACCACGAAGCTACCTGTTAAGATTAATATAAGTTATTAAATCAAAGTAAGCACACACATCATCAGACAATAAACACATACTTCCGATTGTGCCCATAACGAAGAATTCTGTTCAACGTATAAATCATACAGTAGATTCAAATAAGACTTATCCTCGCTGCATGAGTAAAGAAGCATTCTTAATGGTACTATTGTACAAGATAAGGTCAATGAGAAGAATCTGATAACGCGGGGGGGAAAAACCTCTTACAGTGGTTGAAAATATGAATGACTGACAATGTCGTTATTCAATGTGATATCACATTTCTTAGCCAGTCCTAGCACTATCCCTGGGAAATATATAATTGCAAGCTTCAACAGGGCAGAACTCTCCTCGTTGACCTGTAATAATAATAATAATCATACATTGTTAATAACAGTTTTATCATCGATATTAACGTTCTCGATTTACCCTTACCGAGTCCTTATCATCTTGCAATTCTAGATGGAATTTTGCCAGTGCCCTCGAATATGCAAAATTGGGACATTCATACAGTTTTTTCGCCTTCCATTCATTAGCCATAGTATATACATATGAATACTGCCGCGCTTTAAGCCCAAAGAAATCAATGAATACCAATGCAGACAACGGATCGTCCTCAGGTGCCATAGCTAAAAGAAATCTAGTGAAACCAAACGCTGTCTGCCAACATCCTCTGCGAGACAAAAACATTGCATGTCTGAATAACGCTAGGAAAAATGACCTGCATACAACAACAAAACGTGTGATAGAGAAACACGAATAAGCATATCATAATCTCCAAACAAAAACATGGGCACAAATACCAACCGATTCTCAAAGTGTCTATAATCCAGTCTCACTGTTCCTTTTGATATGTAGAATTCAGGATGAAAACTCTTTTCGAACGCATACAATGTGCGCTCAACCAACTCTCCGGCAACGCTATGATCCCCAGACATCTTGCAAATATCGCTCAGCTGCAACAATGAATCAATATGATATGGATTATCGCGCACAAGAGCAGCAATGGTGTTTGGATCTAGTAATCATTATCTTCGTATGCTTAGTATTTTCCTACGCATCAATCAAAAAAATTAATCGAAAAGGAGAAATTCCATCGCATATAAACTTTACCGTGACTAGCAATGCAATCAAGAAACACTTCTTGTACAGAGCGATACCTTTGCGAATGAGTTATCTTAAAATATTGGATCCCGTCCTTCTCTTCCACAAATTCCATACTCAATCCGTATCCTACTCTGTCGATTGGAGGCCAACCATCTCGAGGTCTAGCCAAGAACATTCTCTTAGTCGTACGAGAATAGTTCCGACCACGGATTTCTCTATCTACCTGAACAACTATGTTAAACATGAGACATGCAAATACAATGGCGAGACGATGAATATTAGAATCATAACGCTTTTCACTCACAACAGCAGATCCAAACATTCTCCTCATCTCAGCATCGGCATCGAGCATTTTAGCATCTATTGTCAGTAGAGATATATTCGAATCGTTGTGGAGGGAATCTGATTTGGCTTTTGTGGATTCGTTCGTTTTCACCAAATTATTGGATAATGGACCAAGTCTATTATTCGGTATAAATAGGCGTTAGCATTTGACTACATAGAGAAGAATGTGAGGAGCACGGACTTACTCTTTAGTAATCTCTCTAATAGCTTTTTCCAATTCTCCCACACTCATCTCATCAACCTGCTTTCTCGCTTTGCCTTTCTCTGATTTAACCGTGGCGGCCTGGTCTCCTTTTGACTTCTTTTTCTTTTTCTTCTTTTTAGACCTGATCGCCGGAGAATTCATGTTCTATGTACAGATCAGAGGAGATATACGTTTTATAAGAATGTTCGATCAATTTATCACTAATGTTCTCAAAGTGTATCGTACGGTCAACAAGTTTCGATGTTGTTATTGTCGGTCTATATATTTCAACTTGCCTTCCCCTTTAATTCTTCGTCCCTTAACTTTTCCTCAGCAGAGCTTTCTTCGTCATTATTATTTTCTTCTTCTTCATTAAGCTGTTATATATGCGTATTAATATCATTTCCTTCGTACAGTACTCTAACGCGAAGGAGCTACCACGAAGACATTACCAAATCAAACAAATTTCTGGCCGTTTCGTTTCGTTCAATATCCAATTCCTCAAAATCCAAATTACTGGAACTTCCTTGTTCCGCTTCTAGCTCTTTATCTTTTAGTGCTTTTCTATAGGCACGACCCGACATCCTGGAGAAAGTAAGTTACATTAATATGCTGTTGCGATCCCACAATTTCTCTATCCAGGCACGTGAACAAAACAGGAGACAATTAATATTAACGTTAACTGTTATTCCTCCCTAATTTCTGCGTAACTCCAAAGGCGTTACAGGATCTGCCGATCGGCACGTAGCACTAAGAAGGATCTGCTGAAAAATTAGGGGCCACAATATAAATAGATCCATGGTAAATCCTGGATTGAACACTCAAAAAAGGCGTGTGTGTGTTTTATTACTGTGTTCGTATGTGTTATAAAACACATAAAGTGCACGCGGGAAGATTGACGAGTCCCGTCCCGCGTTTTGTCTTGGACAAAAACTGATCCTTTGATCCTTTTGACTTTAGATTAAGTTCTCTTTGACTGGCTTGGGTAAGTTGAGTTTTTAAGTTTTCAATTAATTGGTAATCGGCAGCACAGACACAGCAGATGACAGCAGAACAATAGTAAACCGAAATAGGATAATTAATAACGTTGCGAAAAATAGATCAATTAGTCCTTTCGAAGGATATAAAAGCAGCGTGGATTTAAATAACTTTCAATTTCTTTTATCTAATATAAATGAGTAATCCTTCACACTCTGAAATACATTGTTAATAATTCAATCCCTGGTAAATTATCGATATAGCATAAATTCGCTAATCTCTATCGAAGGATATTTGTCTCTTGTCCCACAATTATCTGAGTGGCATGTTTTACAATAATTTAATTGTTTACGGAAGCGCTTCTTAGTAATATATTAGTTTTGAAACCCCACACGGACAGACTACTGAATTAATCCCACAGTAGATAGTCATGCATTTGACTCGAGGACAATTACGTTATCTAGGATTAGCGTACACTTAATGACGCTGAGGTTATCGTAAGTGAAAGCCTTGAAAAGACGAGATCACTAACGGTAAAGTAGATTTAACTATTAATAGGAGAAGCTACGCTCCGTTGAAGATGACTAAATCCCAAGTGTCGATTACTAACCGCTCTCCTGCAGTAGTAGTAGTCGGCACGACAGAAGCATTTCATTTATTATTTACCTGTACAGACACCTGGCCATGTGCCACATTTCTTTATTGAATCAGTTAGTCTTAGATACTGTCTATGTACTACTATTGTCTAACAGCTCTAGAAGTTTTCTGTAGTTGCCAGTAAAGATCTTATATTAACAAAATATTGAAGCATATTACTACTATTGCGCTGATCACCGAGTCATATAGCGATCAAGTCATCTTTGCAAGAATTCGCGCAACTTGCAAATTTAGTATTATCTTGACACTTGAAGGTCCTACTTTTATGAGAATGAAATCCATGTTTGCATCATTCGAATTGGTGACAACGAAAAATGTTAATCACATTGTCACCTATTACTATGCCCATTACGATACGACGCGTGTAAAGAGAGTTCATTGCCTAATTGGCAAAATAACGGCAGTGCAATTATCACATTGTTACAAGTTAAACTCTTGGTAGTACGTAGTGACCAAATTCTATTTGCAATAAAAAAGATACGAATATGGATAAGTTTTTTGCATTTAATTTTTATGCAAGAAGAGAAGTTATGTTTTAGCAATGCATTGTATAACAAATAATAATAATAATAATAATAATCGACTAGCTCTAAATTGTTTGAAGAAGCTGCAAATAGGCTAACATTTGCTATTGTAATAGTTTTTGCTTAGTATGATTTTCTCAGTAAAAAGTAATTGACATATTAATATGGTCTACAGTTTTGAATCAAGTTATATTTTATTCTAACTAGCATCAAAACATAATCAATTAATATTATACACTGACTCTTTTTAGCCATTACTGTATTTGATGATACATAAAAGCAAAAGTTTATATATCAATCTTTGCACTAATACTAAAGAGTGCTATACCGTCATGAATGAACCAATTACCCATTAGTATTAGTTGGTGTCAGTTATAGTGTTGATATAACACAGTCTCCCCGAAAAGTAATGGTGGTGTGTTTTATTATAAAAATTTTTTTACATATAATCTTTTTGCAAATTTTATATTTATGGCAGCATTTAGGTAGAGTATATACCAGTAAAAATTTAGTATTCAGTATGCCCTCCTGTTTCAATGCAAGCTTGAATGCGATCTGGCATCCTGGCAATACATTGAGAACTACCTCATCAGAGATATTTTCCATTCTTCTTCTACTAATGCAATAAAAACAGCTTGTGATACTTTTTTTTACCACCATTGCTTTGTATATTCCGCTTGAGAATTGCCCAAATATTCTCAACTGGGTTAAAATCTGGGCTATATGATGGCCAAGACAGAACACGACCTGGCAATTTTAATTCACAAACATCTTTTGGGATCATTGTTCTGCTGGAAAATTCAGCGTTGATTCCCATACATATTAATTGCATTATCATACAAATTCTCATTAAGAATTTGTTTGTAAAATGTCGGCCCATATTCTCCACAAATGTGTACAATCCAACTTTCCCACGTGCACAAATTGCTCCTCACAAATGGATGTTTTACCATTGGTACAATAGGTTATTTTGACCAAGCTAAGCAAAGTGCAAGTATTCCAGAACATCTGCAAAGTTGTTTCATCAAAGAATACTACTTTGCGCCAGTTACAATGAGAGTGCTTCTATGCACATTTTGCTTGGCTTGTTCAGTAAAAAGTGGAACACGCCTTGGCAAAGTAGTATAAAAAGTTTGTCACGAATAGTCTGTTCACTCACTTCAAAATCTGGGTGTGTTTCTTCAAGCTGAGCCTTTAATTTCAGCTGTTGTAACAAAATGATTCGAATTTACGATTCTACCGATCTGGCGACGCATTTGAGGAGAAATTTTACGTGGGCGACCAGAACAGTGAATATTGGAAGGTTTGCCATTTTTACGAAGCTGGGCTCAATCTCGTTCACAGGAGCGAAGAGGGACATTGGTTTTTGTTTTTCGAAAAGTTTCTATTGGGCTTCGGTAGCCTTGCTTCCATCTTCTTCACGGTTTATTTTTATAGAATTTGCGAAAAGTAATACGCTTTATTGATCAATGCAAAGTAAATAATACGGAACTCTACGCGTACTGGTAGTGACCTAATATGTCTTAGTGGCAGCTGATTGTATCATAAAATGGTGAAATAAACACCCCGCCACGCCATTACTTTTCGGGGACTGTATACATAATACAGTCGAACCCATAAAAGATCACCCGGTATATTACGTCTCACCGTAGTGTTATTAAATAGAACTTTTAACATACTCAATAATAAGCATTGGTATTAATATTTATCAATCAATTAATGTTTTGTGCCAGAATAATCTTTGGTGCACTGGCTAATTGCTTACGGAAAACATCAATAACTGTGGCTTGTCCTCGAAACCTCAATAACTGTGGCTCGTTTTGAGCAGACCTCTTGACATTGAATAAATTATTGTAATCTGGCCGGGCCTGCGAGAAATTTGAGGAATACTAAGTAGCCAAACTGACGCTAGCGTTATGAAAAAAAAAATTGCCAGTCAATCAACATACATGTATTGTTATATCGTTCTACTAGCTCAGATTCACACCGTTCTCCATAATAATAAGGTGGGATTCCTTTATTATTAGTTCTCACGGCTCATTTGCCAGCCGTTTAAATTTGAGAAGTTTCTTTTGACAAGAAAAAGTTCTCCTTAAAATACGTGCATTATTCCCATGTTATCATCTGCAAGGGTCGCACGCCATAAACCTTTTTTTTTTCGCAAGCTATGATCGTCATACCAATGGAGTATCTTTGAAAATACAGTTGAAACTATCAAATATCTTGTATCCGCGATGTAATGAAATATCTATTTTAGACTATGCAAATAAGTAATACTGAGCGATATAAACCGCGCTATCTAAAGAAAGGAACATGAGTCGGCGACCATCAAAGATAGTCTTGGTTATAAACCGTAAACATGACTGTTGTGCAATCATCACAATGAATATATTAGTAACAGGGCCACATAACTTTTTTCACTTTCACGCAACCGCCAATTGGAAGGTACCGTAAACTCCAACATATGTACCCCCACATGAAATGTACCCTCCACATGAAATGTACCCTCCACAGTTTTATACCCGGGTACTAATATAATATCAATATTTTGGCCTTTTGATTTGTAGCTCATTCTTATTCTGTATTTTTCTGTTGAAAATACATGGATACACACTTAGTATAATACATATGTTAAGCCAATTACATTGACAATGATCAATGGTCAAAGTTCATTGAAAATACTGTACATCGTGGTGGATGCCATTGAATGAGATAAATTAATTTACTAAACGATTGAATTGGTTCTATTTGTAAGGGGAAAGTGGCTATTACTATTCCCTATCATCGCTTGTAACTACGTCACACTTTTTCTCGGACAGATGTACCCTGATCAATACGGTGTACCCTCCCCCTACAGGAGTACCCAATCAATTAGGGAAATACCCCGGGTACATATGTTGGAGTTTTGCGTTCCTTTATCAGTTGCACCTACGAAGGTACATATGTTGGTAATTCGTCATCCAAGGTTGAAATTGCCAATCCGGCAAGTGTCATCCTCCACTGGACACTGTGCGATTATGACATACAACTGCCGTCGCAATTTTTGATTTTATGACGAAATCGTGTAAACGTAAAAAAAAAAAGATTCAAATGACAAACCTCATCTTTTTTGTCAAACGTAGGTAACAGATAATGTCCGTGCCCAGTGTTAGGCTGAATATTGATTGTGGCTTAAAGTGTACTGTATATGTAGCTTGTGTTGTTCGTGTTACATATTCATTCCATTAACAGGATATGTAAAGCAGGGCAGGGCAATCTTTGTAGTTTTATTGGTTGGCATAAAATTTGAGCACGGTAGATGGATTATCGTTAATAGATTTGTGAAGCAAGATTAAGATATTCTGTCGTTATTATTATTATATCGACTTTTTAAATTTAGCGGATAAAACGAGATCAAGTGACTTGTAGGCTTAACAGTTGTGTGTGGTTAAAAAATAACAAAGTTAATATGCAAATGTATAGTACTGTATATGTAAGGGGTTGCTCTATTGTTTTTCTGCACCTATCGTCAGAGTAGTACAATAACTACAATAGCGACAATCTCTTGAAGTACAATGATAATAACGTAATCCTCGCCGAGCTGCGGAATGTTATCGGCAAGATGCGATAAGAAAACTCCTTGGCAGATATTGTTGATAAACACATGTGGCTTATCAGGCAATATATTCAGATCGGGGATGTATAGAATTGGGAAGAGACAGGACAATAAGCCGGAAAGCAGAATAGTGACAGTGACTGTAAAAAGGTGGTGCTACAATAAGGTACGACGTAAAGCTGGGTCGAGATAGTATACTAGGGTCGAGATGCATGACGCAGCGTTCGAGAACGACAATAAAGTTCTATATCACGCAGTAATCAAGAACGTGTATGTAATTATCAATATAATTCCACCAATAATACAACCACGATACGGCACTTTAAGAGTCAGCAAAGTCTAATTGGGGATCCGGAACAAACGATAATAAACATAATAGAAATGAGAATTTTCGACTTGGTGTCCAGCCAATCACTGCATATCTGCAAACTTGTCATTATCGTCATCACAATAACAATTAACAATTTCACTTCCCCTGAGTATTATTTATGTTTCACAGCAAATAGCTCCTTTCTTATGCACTTTCTTTGATGGGATGGCGATCCTAGCAAAACTTGACTTGTCCCAGAATGGCATCAATTATGTCATCATGAAGACGATGGCGTGATCGGGAGTTTTTAGACACCGTATTAATACTGAATTGACTACCAATTATAACATCAACACATAATTGATTCTATTATTAATGCGACAGGATGACATATTGGGTACATGTGCCTCGCACATGGGGCGTTATTTCCGGGTATAAGGTTTATTTCGGTTATATAAACAAACCATATCGTAATTGTCTCTCAACAAACACTTAACGAAATGGATTACGGCAGCATATTCCAGATATCAGCGCAAGTAAACAACAATTCATTAAATATTCTCTGATCGAACGCTATTATCCATAATAGATCACTAATTACTTTTTCATTTTTAAAAGTCAAACGCACAAATCGTTTTAAGCTGTTTAACTGGATATGTAGCCGCTAGACGCGGAATTATAACCACTGAAGCGCACAAGGTAGAATAAAAAAAAAAAAGAGAAAAAAAAAAAAAAAAAAGAGAAAAAGAAAGAAAAAGAAAACAGTAAAAACGAAATTTAAAATCAAAAATCAAAAAACTCGTCGTTAACATCCATTAACGAATGTATAGGGATTCTCAAGGGTGATACTGAATTTGCTATTACCATGTTTCCTCTTTGCCGAAATCGGGAAAAGTATGGATTTAGAGACATTGTTGAAACTATGGCCTATAACAACGTTCTACCTTATCTTTGCCCTAATTGGGGGCACACTCGCTATCATTGGAGGATACGTTTTCAGATGGTCCGCACCAAAGACTAAATTCGCAATGACCAGCGTAATATTTAACAACGTCACCAGCATGTCTATAGCTCTTTTACTGAGTATTGGCAAGACCGATGCGATCATGCTCTTGACGCACGATAAGAGAGAACTACCAGAAGAAATAGTCTCGCGCGGTGTATCCTATTTACTAATAGCCAACCTCATGGGCAATTTAGGAAGGTGCGTATATCCCCGCAGGTATATCTATATTTAAAACCCGTGTCTTGTCTTCTAAATTGCTCTAACGATTGCCACCTTACCCGGTTCACCATGAAGATGGAGTTTGGGCACTTGGCTTTTGAAGAAAGAGGACGGTAGTGATGACGAAGAAATCATCATCATTGAGCACCCTACCCACGAAACTCTGCCCAACTCGAGCTATATCATATCGACTGTTTCCCCGTATGACAGCACTTTGCACAAACCAACCGTACAAACAACAGAATCGACTGCTCTCTTATATCGACGCAACACCACAAGACGTAATCGATCCACGGGGCTGCTGTCAAAAATTTGGAAGCCGATCAGTGATATTTCTAATCCACCTCTCATCGCAGCACTGGTGGCGCTTATAGTCTGCGTTAATCCAACATTAAAGTATATCATCTTTAGCAGACATTCTTTTATACACAACAGCATCACCACGACAGTGGCTAGTCTAGGAAAGATGACCATCCCCCTGACACTTCTCACTCTTGGAGCCCAACTTCACAATCTATCAGGCGGCAAACATAGCGGGATGACATCAGTGTACACATATGTGATGTCCAGCAGGTTTTTCTTAATGCCTATTATTGGCATCACATTAATACTATTCACCCGCGAATATTATCTCGATGATCCGATGCTGGTGTTTGTGCTGATGTTGATGGCAAGCGGGCCAAGTGCGGTCAATTGTATCAATATCTGTCAGTTAACGAATACGTTTGAGGAGGAGATGGCGGCATTGTTGATGTATTCGTATAGCGCTGCTGCTCCCCTGATGACTATGACGGTTATGGGACTTTTGTTGATTATTGTCAATATCTATAATGAAACAGGTCTATGATAGTGTAAATATATGAACACTAGTATATTGCTTAATCACAAGTCCAGTACATTACAAGTTTTCGGGTTTGCCGCAGTTTCCGACTGTATAGTTGACATTTTCAGTAAATAGTATATAAAAACAGCTGTACTGAACCTGAACAATAATAGGTTCACTGGTAGTTGGTTGGCGGTAGAACTATTTTGCCTAGTTTCTTCATAAAGATTGAAGTAGATTCATGTGGGGAATGTAAAATTGGTCCATCAATTTGATAATCACGAGACAAAACAGGGGATGCCTAATAAATTGCTAGGTAACTCTTACTACTTACAGTAATCTAATGTCAAGCGCCGCCTTACATAGTGTTATTGATAACACGAGTGATTCGGCCATGTCTGTTTATGATAAAGAAGACTCGTCGGCCAACAGTCGGCCGTACAGAGTGTATAGGATTTGAATAACCGGTGATCACGACAATTGATATCACACAATTAAAAGCCACAACAGCCCGAGTGGCTAATAATTTGTCTAATACTAATACCAATTAGTATAGTAAAACTTGGAAAATACTTCATTCTCGGCTATAATTAACAGACACTAGTACTAATATAAAGTAGTGGACCTGCGCCACCACCCCAAATTTTAGTTGTGAATATGCTTTAACCCACTTTTGGAGATAATTATCAAACTTTAATTGAAAGGAACACGCCTGATTTACATTTGAAATTGTGTGTGATAGACACAAAGGTCTAAATTTAATATTGTCTCAGTTGCAATAGCATAGAATTGTCAATTGAAATATGCCAACCAAACGTCGGCTATATAAAGTGTTGAGTAAATTCTGATTTATGTAGAAAGAAAGAAAGTGAGCTTACTAGTAATGTATACTACTTATAGTACGTATATTGATTGGTAATGTGACTTGATCGATAGATTTTCTTGCCAAAGTTAATTCAAACCCATGTAAGGTCATCACGCATCAATTAATCTAAACTAGGTTAGTATTGGATAGAAGGATTACATGTGACAGTGTTTTTGACAATGGCAAGCATTATCTTTCAATCTACTACTATCATGAATCGATATCGGATGTCTCTAAACTGGGCAGCCATAAGCACATTTATCAACCTCAAATCAACATGCTAGTTCAAAGACTGTTTTGTTGCTGTTCGCGTTACAGCAAAAGTCCATTAACATGTGGTCCTGCTCCTAAATGTTCCGACTACAATTTGATCCGGTGGTTGGAAAAAGAGATGTGTCTTTGGTCTTTTCCGACGTAATGCTCATTTTGAAATTCTACAGACATTGTGTGAATAGAGACCAGAATAAGTAATCAGCTGATTTACGTTGTGGATTTAGCAAAGTAATGTAGTAAAGGAAGGTAATATTATTCACACCTGTTAATAGGGTTTTTCGGCTCACATCTAATGCTATTCTTCTGACAATAATAACAATAATACTAATCAGGATTACTTCTCATCCTATGAGATTTATGAGATTGGACCAATTATTCCTACACGTGTATTATCGAGACTTCATTTCAATTACTGTATTTATACCATGTATACTTAAACGGGTTATGCGAGTTGAGTGCATAATATTGTAAATATGTGTAAAAAGTTTCAGCAATCATGCGATCTTGGAGCCTTTAGATAATTTATCATTTTATTCTTCTGATTCGTACCTTCATCCAAACAAATCGTATTGTCAAGAATGTTGCCGGAATTTCATCGAATACAGTTCGCACGTACTGTAAGCTTACAGCCATGGCGAAAGCTAGATTTACAATTGCAAACAGGACGCGAGTCGACAAGACCTTAGTGAAGTATTTCCCAGAATTGTTTGTAAGCTCATCACAAACTATCCCTACCCCTTTAGCAATAAGGGTTGGATTGAGTAGTTTTCCCGTCAATCCTATAAGAGGTATAACGTATTCTCATGGAAAACGTTAGAATTTTCTCTAATACTGTTGTTTATACATAGTCATGGCTAGGCGAGATCGAACAAAAATTTTCGTTTTGTTTATAACTATTATACAAAGTCACGTATATATTTATCAAATTAATAAATAAAAAGCTTTAAGTAACGATTTTCTCTATCTTTTAAGACTTTTACTGTGTCACACATTACACATGCATTAAGATTGTGCTGACAATTATAAACCGGGACAATAAATGTTTTTCGATTTCTTTTGTGGCTCTTTTTCCACAATTCGCAATAGGCATATTAACTACAAGAATAGTTTTAGTTGCTTATTGCAATGACTAGTGTCTGTAAATTACCGATTGTTCTGAAATACAGTAAACTAAACGACTTAGTATTTTAAAGTTATACAGTAATCTACAACCAACGCTTACATAGTGGGTCGTACAACTGCGTATGAAGGATATTGCAGTTCACGTGCATAGGTAAATTACTGTTCGCTAGTAACCTGTGATTTTTTATTAAAAACTGTTAGGAAAGGAATAATTTACAGTCGAAGTGAAAAAGTTACTTGAAAAATTGACACTGCCTTTTGAAACATAGAAAGTTTTTTTATCTTAATTTTGTCATAAACTAAACTATCAGCAAATATTATTATACCGACACGATATTAGGATTACTTTTGGGGGATTATTTACAGAAAAGAAGAAATTTGAAACCTTAAGCCGATATAAATGCATGATAGCGTAGTACGTAATAAGCATATGTGAGAGGCTTCTTAAATGTGTTTTCTTAGGGAATGGCATATTCAAGTTGAAGAACAAATCGCGAATTGTTGTCGTATTTAAGTACTTCTCGTGGTTTCGATAACCTGCAGATGTATAGAAAATTTGTTATAAGTTACACGTTTACGTGGTGCATACAACAGAAATTGTATTTCAATTACCGGAAAGTGTTCCTTTCTACAGTCATCACGTTCGAATTCTTCTTGGCCGTTCTGCCCGCATTCTTGCTTTCCATGCCCTTCTGACACTTGCCGACGTTCTTCTCACCAATTTTCCTCGCAGCATTCTTTGCCTTTTCCAATACCATTCTCTTGATTCTTGTTTCGGGACGATCTCTTGGGTTTTGCGGCACTTTCTCTTGGATTGGCTTTTGCATCTGGGCGACCGGTTTCTTTGATGTGCGCTGTTTGGTCGATTGTTCGATCGTAATCTTGGTTGTATGCGTGATTGAAGTCGCTGCAAACAGCTTGGGTTTCGGAGGTGAAGCTGGTTTAAGATTTTGTTCCGACAGAGTCCGAGATCGTTTGTTCTTTTTCACGTTCGTACCAAGTCCTTTCTTTATTCCGCAACCTGTATCCGTATTTTTATTCTTGGCGACTCGTGGTAAAAAGAGCTCTAGTGGTTTAGTAGTCCAATCCTTTCCCAGTTCAGGATTATCCCTAAGTCTTCTCCATAATGGTACTTTGCTCCTATCTTCGAGTGTAAGGACATATTCATAAGGCAAATCTTGTGCAAATTGAGGCGATACGGAAGGTTGGAGCGGCGCGGGATTTCCCGATAGACCATCGAGAGTGATATTGTCGCATGACTCGGGTTCAACGGAATCGTGGGTAGTAGCGGGACTAGTATTTGGACAAGAGATTGGGGGAAAGTAATCTTCGAGTGGTCCCCATTGAGTTTCAGACGTGATCTTGCGGCGCGATTTGGTGGTTATCGTATACAGGCCGGTATATGACTCGAACGAGACGCCCAGGGCGGTGGCAGGAGAAGATCTGTCGGTGATATCGACATTCTCGGCGGCAAAATCAGTGCACTTGTCAATCGCTTCCGCAATTATATCCAAGTCATCGAAGAATCCCGAATCAATCCTTTTGCGTCTTTGCGCGGAATCAGAAACAAGATCGACGGTTGATGAGACTTTGATTTGGTGAGTTGACATTTTGTGCAAAAGATGTTGTTTGGTTAAATGTAAGTATCTGTATTATTCGAGAGTGTGTGTATTAAATGTATGGATTTTGTATTGTATGAGATTTGTATCTTAATTCAAGTGAACTATTTTCTTCATTCGAAGCTTGGTGCTCTCCAGCCGTCAATGCCAGCTTATTAAATACTTTCGCCATTGCACGTCTTTCCACCATTTCCAAGGACATCAAGTACTTTTTTGGTGCAGTAACAATTTCTGATTTTTGACTGCATTGGATGCAATTGGATTGGGTTTAGCTTGAAAAATGTGAATCCGATTGTGTGAATAAAGGATGGGGAAAAGGTTCGATTGCATTGGATGCATCACATCAGTTTGTGATGATCATTGCATAAGACGGCAGATGATATGCTTAGGACTACCTTATATGCCTGTCTTATCGCCTTCATAATTCTCGTTATGCAAGTTGCTTCTTGACATGGCCCGGGTAAATAATGAGAATGTTGGATGTTCGAGTGACTTCAATGACATAATAAGTAATTAAGCAAGCGCACAACGTATAATACAGACATCACTCGTCTTGTGTAAGGAATTTAGTATAAACTTGAATAATACAATTGATCTAAAAACATTAACAATACATGGTGGGAATATTCGTGAATTTGACCCAATTAGTATGAAATACAAGAACATTTTACAGATAACTCATCGTTTGTCTCAATGTAATCTTCTAATATGACATAATAATAATAACAATTTCTTAGTTTAATCGTCAAAAACGAATAAACACAACACACCTCTGTTTGATGAATGTTAGAGATCATATTTCTGTTGAAGTCGTCCTTTGCGCTTACGTTTTATAATTATCGTAATTCTTTATTTTTGTATTTGTAAGCAACATTGCTATTGCTTTTCTATATTGAAAGTATCCTTTTACCAAAATTAACACATACAAAAGAACATGCAAACCAAACTATATACCCTCTACGCGTCCTTCACCTTTATTTGTCCTCGCCACCTCAAATTAGCAAAGCCACATATGTAATAGAAGTTTGTCTCCGCTTTACTTGGGTGTTCCTCTTTAATTATTTTAGTCTTAACACATTGTTTTTACCAAACACGTACGGTATAGGTACTCGTCAGTTCCCTTCGTATGATACAGCATAATTTGTTCTTAGTTTAATAAGTACGACGAGCTTGCGGCGTAGAATAACATGCTGTTTTATACCGGCGTACATGATTCGCATAAAACGCAATTTTGCAGAATTCAGGTAATAGTAGCTTCCCATTTCGGGATTTGTGATTTAGGGCGTAGAGATTAACCGAACGTACTTGATTTTTGTTACAGAACGACTCTCTTTGCCAAAGTAATCTCATTACTATTTCAAATCTATAAACTTTACATTGTAATATTTAAGATATTCGATCGCCAAGACTGTTTTTTTGTTAGTGGCACAGACACGTGAGCGCTCCGGTACAAAAGTTGGGCAAGCTGCCTAATATTTATCCGACAAGATGGCTCAAAGGAAGAAAGATTACAGAGAAATAATGTATGAGGCTGTTGAGTGTACTACGTGTCCTGGTCAATATTTACTTCTGGAGTCCTTATTACCATTAATTCTAATAAGGTTGAAGACACTTTTTTGCAATGATTTCTGGCAATAGAATTATGACACCAACAAAGCAACCTTGACAACGTAACGCGTAAATCTTATGTACACAAGTATCAGTATCAATATATCATAGATTTTTATCAATCTGAACAACCATTGGAAAAGACAAATACCGTAAGATGTGCTATGCAATGATTTATGACGACAAAATAAGGTAGAAATTTGATAAACTTGAGTATTTTTAAAATGTAGACGATGAGCAGTCTTTTTTATATAATGTATCATTTGGGAAAAAAAGCGATTGAAACTTTTAATAAACTTCAGTAAAATCCTGGCATAATAGGCATTGTTTAGAGCAAAAATTTCATAGCGACAATAATTATTTTGCTAACAGTCTTTTTTGTTACCGCCCTATTTGTAGATATCTTACAACCAAGTTAAGCGAAATCGAGTCGGCATTGTTATAATAAAATTGTACGTCAAATGTTATAATAACTACAGCAAATGCTTGTGAGCGATAGTGTGGTGGGTACTTGTGGTGGTACTTTCCATTGTATATGCATGTCGATTTAGCAATTGTCTCATTTCCTCCCCACATTAACATGGCTAGGCTTATTGATGATCAATCGTAAAATCAATGTTCTTATCAAGTAGACCTTTTTCGCTAAGTAATATTGGTAAAGAGTTGTGGGATTCAAGGGATTCACAGAATAATTGTATTATATGGTGCAAAAGCTTCAAAGCATTGCAAACACATTTTACGATCTAAAAAACGACGAAGTTTATAAAGTTATTACGTTCTTAGGATGTGCAACCAAATTCCCATTGCACACCCTAAATATATGTGGTAATACTTTTAATTTTTTACCACTACAAGTGGGTCTCGATATAACGACACGCTCGGTTCCAATCTAAATGGTCACTATATCGAGAATGTCCTTATATCGAGAATTAACTTACATACGACAACTAAGCAATATAAAATTTTCGTTCTAAGATTTCTGTCTTTATTATTATAACGAGATGTTGTTATATAGCAGCGTAGTTATCACTTGTGTTACTGTTTTGCCATGACGCATTTACTTTTTGTCCCTACTAACGTTTCAGTAGTCCTGGAAAAGAAGCTAAGCGTTACACACGGATTGTGTATTAGTGACTGTGATTGTACTTGAGGGTCACCCCATGTGCGCCTAAATAAAGACCTCGAAACCTCTTATTCAAACGATGTCATTAGTTCCAGGAGATAATAATGCAGCAATTGACAGCTTAGTTCGATCATTCTTATCAAATGAATATGATAGAAGACTCGAATGGATTCCTTGTTCCGAAATTACCGGCATAAAGCCAAGTCAAGTTGATGCTGTCTTCTACGCTATTCGCAAGCAAACGGGGGATAAAGTAAATGAAACAATGTTACTATTGATTGGAAGTAGCGAAGAATGTACACCAACATTTGTGAGTGAGTTTGCCAGAATATACTCACTTCCAACGCACAAGCACGATAGTAATAGCAACAACTTCAAAAGATATTCTTACTGGCTTAAGGAGCGCAACTACTTGATAAAAGGATTTACCGAGTATAAAGATAACTATTACATGGTTGCCGATAGAAAGTTTTACGATTGTTATTCTCGATATGGCTTCTGCACTGCATGTGGAATACTCC